GAGCAAAGGAACAAACAGGAACCCAGCACAAACTATACTCTGACAGCCAATGCAACAAAAGAATATTGTAGCAGTTTAGGTTGGTGGTGTATGTGTAGGATTCATTTGGACTTCTTGTGATAGTTCTAAGGAGCTATCCAACTTCAAAAAAATTTAACTGAAACTAACAAAAAGTTTGTATATCTGACATTAGTTGTAAATCATTTTTGTACTGTGTGTATCAGACTATTTATATTTCTTATTTTTTTTATTTTTTTTTTTTTAGAACAACCTGCATCTAACTCAGAAAAACGGCTAAGCTCTATGGCACAGAGCACCAGAGACCCTTTGCAGAAGACCATGAAAAAGACTTGTAATTTAGTTATTATACTGTAATGTTTTATATATTTGCACATTACTTGCTATTTGTTACATTAGCCTGATGTTTTTGATGAAGATAACCAGGATATATCATAATACCTCCCAGATATCACTACTTTAATGGGACCATTGCGGTTTTTTAATCGAAAAAGAGGTGGGACTTGAGTATAGCGGGTTTGGAATCATCTGGATATGGTCAGATTTGGCCTGAGATCAGGCAAATCAGTTTAAGCCTTCGAAATTATATAGAGTATATATGTGTCAGGCGCTTCCATGCACTAGCTCTGCTTTTAGGAGCGGAGTTCCTCAACATTCTGCAGGACCAGGTTGTCAGAAGGTGATATTATTATTATACAGTATTTATAAAGCGCCAACAGTTCGCTCAGCGCTGTACATTACAAAGGGAGACAGAACATGCGACAGGATAGGATAGAACATGTGATAGGATCAGCACAAACACATGCTGCAAATCACATTATTTTCAGCAAGAATTCGTTTTGTGTTCATGTTTTTATAGCAATTCTGCTTAAATATGGTCTTTCTACATTACACTCCAAGCATCCTGTAGTGATACCTTTGTGACAGAGCCCTAAGCATTATAAAAAAACTAAATATTTTTTGTAGATTTTGATAGTGTAGGAAAAAGATAAAATCTATGAAATTAAGGGAAGTCTTCTGTTAGATAGTTGTCACCAGAACAACAGGTGTCCCCATTGGGAGATTCACCATCACCTGTTGTCACAATGAAAGCTGTATTCTCCCACGCAGGTCCCCAGGACAAATAGAGAGGGTGAATGTACACAACAGGGACACAGTGATAAAACCTAATGGCATTAGATACACTTTCAATTTCTGATCTTTTATATTAGGTAGGTTACAGAGACTATACCTAAACAGTTTTAGAGGCAAAAGAAAGTGCAGCTTTAATAACCAAAATAAATTAACAAAAACATATAAAGAGCACCTTAAAGCGGAGCTCCACCCAAAAGGGGAAGTTCCGCTTTAAGGACTGCTCCCCCGCTCCCCATTAAGGATTGGCAGCTTTGGGGGGGGGAGCAGGTACCCAAATTTGACAGGTACCTGCTCCCACTTCCGGTCCGATCGCCTAGGCGTCCTCCCTCCCTCCCTGTAGTCTTTTGGGACATGTGACAGGTCCCAGAAGACTACAGGACCATTCATGAAGAGCAGCGCTACTCGCAAATACGCAGTGGGTACCCGCTGTGAAGCCGCAAGCTGCACACCCGGGAACCTACACTGAAGATGCCGGCCTCCTGGAATACAGGACGGCCGGTGAAACGGGCTGCGGGGGACACACTGTGGGACTGAGGGACAGGTCAGTGGCTGTTTTTTAAAAGTCAGCAGCTACAGTTTTTGTAGCTGCTGACTTTTATTTTTTGACAGGGTGAGTAGAACTCCGCTTTAAGTTAATGATCAGCGCAGAAAAGGTTTTGCTTGTCTTCCATTGTATGTTGACTAGATAATGAATTTGTCTACAGTATTTTGTGTAATGCACACTAGTGGCTTAGCATCATGATTGTGAACTGTTTTTAAAACATTATTTTTATTAACACATCTTTTGGTGGCCTTTAGATCCTCCTGGATGGCCAAGAATCACAGAGTGCCGATCATCTCAGCTGGAAACCTTTACTTGCCACTGGACCTATGGAGATTTTCATAACTTAACCGGCTTGTTAATGCTGCAGTATATAAAACCGTTAAGTACCTCTTTCATATTCTTCTATATAGGAAAGGATTGCACAACTTAAAACCAATGAAATTGTTTAAAGATATAATTCCGTCCTCGTTGTATTCAAGCTATGCAGAATGTATGCATTAATCTGTTCTTTTAACCTAAATATTCCCATTTTTGATAATCTGATTCATTTAATTTTCTTAATAACATTATTTAGGTAGAATTTTGTATCATTAAATGCTGACATGCCATGTATACTACCTATTAACATGGCATTCATAGCCAAAAAGCTTGTCCTTTAACATAATAACATTAATAAATACACGCTTCTGTTTTCAGTACTAAATCTCACAGACTTATTAGAAGGCAAAGAGGGTCATAACCATTAGAGTGTGTCTCCATATTAACTAGTAAACGTGGCATAGCTGAGCTTTCAAAGAGTGTCACTGAAAAGGGGAAGGGGCAGATCAGCAGTTGCAGGTATAGGGGAACAATACTTATTGGATCAGGTAGTTGTATCTTCCTAAAAACACCGAAAGACATGAAATTATAACTAGTTCAGATCACTGTCTTCTCATGTCTTTGAATACCTTAAGTGTCAAGGGTTAGCCACCCTAGGATCGTGACATCTGAAAACCCTGTTGCCCAATCTGTGTTGTCTGTGTTTCCATGAAGTGATCGGCAAAGACATGGATCCCAAACATGATGTGTGTTTTTATTTATTTTTGCAATTTTTTTGGTGAATGAGTAGGGGTACAATGTACCCTCTACTCATTCACATGGGGGGCAGGATCAGGGGGCTCCCTTGTTAAAGGGGAAGAAGCCCTTGTCCCCATCATCAAAGCACACCCCATGTTGAGGGAATGTGGCCTGGTATGGTTCAGGAGGGGGCTTCATGCTCGGATAAGGGTCTGGATTGAATTTGCAGGGGGGACCCCCACGGCATTTTTTTTCCTATTTTTAATTGTGGCATGGGGTTGCCCTCAAAATCCATACCAGACCTAAGGGTCTGGTATGGATTTGGGGGGGGGGCTTGCTTTTTTTTTTTTTTTTTGGCGTGGCTGTTTTCTTAAATTTCAATTGTCAGTAATTTTTTAAATGGGGGGTGGGGGCTTGCTTTTTTTTTTTTTTTGGCGTGGCTGTTTTCTTTTCTTAAATTTCAATTGTCAGTAATTTTTTTGTTTACATTCAGCTGTCAGTAGGGACCCACACTTACAGCAGATGAGCCATTGGCTGGTTGTTAGGGACGCAAGCGGCCAGCTTGCCACAAAAACTAAAAAACTCTAGGAAAAAACGCTCATATGAACGTTTTTTTTTTTTTATCCAGCGTTTTTCCAGCTCTTACTGCGCATGGAGCCTTAGATGCTGGGTCCTACCTAGTAATTCTCTGTTGTCTCTTACTAAGAAACTCATGATCCTTATAGCTTGCAGTAGACTATGGACCTGTGCAAATGAGCTAGTTTTCACATCAGAACTGTTTATTTTTCCATGCAAGTAAATAGGAATTTCAAAACCAACTTAAGCACTTGACCTCCATAAGATTTACCCCCCTTCGTGACCAGGCCATTTTTTGCGATTGGGCACTGCGTTACTTACTGATAATTGCACGGTAATGCAAGGTTGTACCCAAATAAAATTTGTCATTTTTTTCCCACAAATAGAACTTTCTAAAAGAAACAGCTTTTTAAAATGTTTTGCGCTATAAACCAAAAAAGACCAACAATTTTGAAGGAAATAAACATATTTTTTACTTTCTGCTATAAAAGATATCCAATAAAATTTTTTTCAAAAATGTAATTTTTTCATAAATGTCCAGTATGTATTCTGCTATATATTTTTGTTAAAAAAAAAATCCCAATAAGCGTATATTGATTGGTTTGCAAAAAAGTTATAGTGTCTACAAATTATGGTATATATACTGGAGGTTTTTTTTTTATACTAGTAATGGCGGTGATCAGTGACTTATAGCGGGACTGCAATGTTGCTGTGGACAATCGGACACTAACTGACACTTTTGACACTTTGTGGAAACCAGTGACACTAATACAGTGATTAGTGCTAAAAATATGCACTGACACTGTACTGATGACACTGGCTAGGAAGGGGCTAAACATCTAGGGCAATCAAAGGGTTAACTGTGTGACTAGCTAGTGTTTTTAACGTAAACTGTGTGCTGCTTTTACTAAGGGAAGGGATGGATCTTATTCCCTGCTTTGAAGAGGCACACGATCCATCACTTCCCCCCTGTCAGAACAGAGCTCTGCCTTGTTTACATAGGCAGAGCTCCATACTGTGTCTCTGCCCGATGATCGGTGGGTGCTGGCAGACATCCGTTGGCCGGCACCCGCAGATCAGTTTCTGCAGTGAATAATCACAGCCGAAGCAACCCGTTGGCAGTGTGCATGCGCGTCCCCTAGGCGGAAGTGATATATATCCATGATTTTGCACAGGAGTGCTGCCCTGTAGCAGTATATCTGATATAGGGTGGTCTTTAAGTGGTTTTAAAGTAGGTTGATGTAGTTTAGGAGGAGGTCAAATTCAGGTGAAAAGGAGGTCAGTTGCAGGTCAAATGCATTTAAAAGCCAGCTGCATTTGCTGATCTACAAAATCCACAATTTCTTGACACATGTCTCCGTGATAAGAAGTGTTTATAATTAGGCTACAGAGAGACCTTCGATGGTGAGTTGAGAATCATTGGTCTGCAAACTTGGAATTAAATCCAGAGCACCAAGATACCAATAACTTGGCCTGAAAAAAAACAAAACCCGGGGCAGAAGAACTAAGTACATTTCTCTGTAAAATGTTCAAGTTTAATCAATAGACTTTACTCATAGATAATATATTTTGATACACCTTAACACTCCTAATGTTATAAAACTATATTTATGTTTGTTTGATTTTCTATGAAATAACTTATCATGTGTGTCCTCTTCGCAGAGGCCTGAATTGGACTGATTGCCCTGACCCAGTATCTGCTGGTGAAAATGGATGCTATTTCAGTAAGAACTACACATCGATGCAGGTTCTTTATCATGTTCGCCTTGTCAGTGACAATGTCACCTATTATGAATACAGCTTCACCATTGATGAAATTGGTAAGCAGTTGTTTTTCTATAAACTGAAATTTCGAATGAACTTAATTTATCCTTCATCTAAAGCTTATGAATTGAGGGCATGCATAAACATGAGGCACCTAGAGATGCCATCACATTCAACTTCTTTTAGGGTACTTGATGCCTCCAGGGTGTCTTATTGTGTAAACAGCAATTTCAGCTTCCCTGGCCCTCAGACTCCACCTGTCAACCCTCACGACTGGATCACAACTATGATGGATGGGCTCAGGTATGAATAATATGTATGGTGTCTCCAAGCTTAGCAGACATAGGATCATGGTATCTAGAGAGACTTGCACAGGCATTTAGCTATCAGTTTATATGCTCCATATTTACTGCAGGTACACTTTGAATAGAATATGTACTCCAAAATCATCCAAAATGTACAGCACATGTTCAGGTCATGTATGTGCTGTAAGGATGTCCAAATACACTCTATTTCCAAAAGTATTGGGACGCCTGCCTTTACACGCACATGAACTTTAATGGCATCCCAGTCTTAGTCTGTAGGGTTCAATATTGAGTTGGTCCATCCTTTGCAGCTATAACAGCTTCAACTCTTCTGGGAAGGCTGTCCACAAGGTTTAGGAGTGTGTCTATGGGAATGTTTGACCATTCTTTCAGAAGCGGATTTGTGAGGTCAGGCACTGATGTCGGATGAGAAGGCCTGGCTCACAGTCTCCTCTCTAATTCATCCCAAAGGTGTTCTATCGGGTTGAGGTTAGGGCTCTGTGCAGGTCGGTCAAGTTTCTCAACCCCATCCATGCCTTTATGGACCTTGATTTGTGCAATGGTGTGCAGTCTTGTGGGAACAGGAAAGAGCTTTCCCCAAACTGTTCCCACAAAGTTGGGAGCATGACATTGTCCAAAATGTCTTCTTATGCTGACACCTTAAGTGTTCCATTCACTGGAACTAAGGGCCAAGCCAAGCCCCTGAAAAACAACCCCACACCATAATCCCCCCTCCACCAAACTTTACACTTAGCACAATGCAGTCAGGCAAGTACCATTCTCCTGGCAACTGCCAAACCCAGACATGTCCATCGGATCGCCAGAGAAGCGTGATTTGTCACTCCAGAGAACACGGCTCCACTGCTCTAGAGTCTAGTGGCAGCATGCTTTATGCCACTGCATCTGACACTTTGCATTGCACTTGGTGATGTAAGGCTTGGATGCAGCTTCTTGGCTATGGAAACCCATTCCATGAAGCTCTCTATGCACTGCTGTTGTGCTAATCTAAAGGCTGCACAAAGTTTGAAGGTCTTTAGCTATTGACTTTGCAGACAGTTGGTGACTTCTGCACACTGTGTGCTTCAGCATGCGCTGACACCGCTCTATCACTTTATGTGGCCTACCACTTCGTGGCTGAGTTGCTATTGCTCCCAGTTGCTTCCACTTTGTTATAATACCACTAACTGTTGAATGTGGAATATTTAATAGCAAGGAAATTTCACGGATGGACATATTGCACAGGTGGCAACCTATCACGGTACCACGCTTGAATTCACTGAGCTCCTGACCCATTCTTTTTCACAAATGTTTGCAGAAGCAGTCTGCACACCTGGGTACTTGATTTTATACACCTGTGGCCATGGAGGTGATTGGAAAACCTGAATCCGATGATTTGGAGGGGTGGCCCAATACGTTTGGCAATATAGTGTATATTGCACTAAACATTTGTGTACCTGAATATTCACCAAAAGTGCATCATATTGTGGTATATCACTTAGTGTTGCCATGCTAATATTGACAACTCCAAAAGTTGCCAAACATTTTTGTTAACTATGGCATCCTTAGCATCCCTGTCAAATGGCTTTCTTCTGTTTTTACTGCAGATCATATACAAGCTTTATGCACGGCAGCATCTATCTGCTGAAAAGTGAAAACTTAACCCATTCACTTTGGAAGGAATGCATGTCTGTTTTGCCATCTAAAAATATTAAATCAGACGGGCCCGGACATGTGCTGGCTTAAGCAGGGGGACACGTCTGGCACTGCAGGATCTGAGTCCCTGGCGGCGTAGTGTGTTACTGATGGTAGCCTTTGTTACGTTGGTCCCAGCTCTCTGCAGGTCATTCACTAGGTCCCCCCGTGTGGTCCTGGGATTTTTGCTCACTGTTCTTGTGATCATTTTGACCCCACGGGGTGAGATCTTGCGTGGAGCCCCAGATCGAGGGAGATTATCAGTGGTCTTGTATGTCTTCCATTTTCTAATTATTGCTCCCACAGTTGATTTGTTCACACCAAACTGCTTGCCTATTGCAGATTCAGTCTTCCCAGCCTGGTGCAGGTCTACAATTTTTTTTCTGGTGTCCTTCAACAGCTCTTTGGTCTTCACCATAGTGGAGTTTGGAGTGTGACTGTTTGAGGTTGTGGACAGGTGTCTTTTATACTGATAACAAGTTCAAACAGGTGCCATTGATACAGGTAATGAGTGCAGGACAGAGGAGGCTCTTAAAGAAGAAGGTACAGGTCTGTGAGAGCCAGAAATCTTGCTTGTTTGTAGGTGACCAAATACTTATTTTCCACCATAATTTGCAAATAAATTCTTTCCAAATCAGCCAATGTGATTGTCTGGATTTTTGTTCTCATTTTGTCTCTCATAGTTCAGGTCTACCTATGATGCCAATTACAGGCCTCTCTCATCTTTTTAAGTGGGAGAACTTGCACAATTGGTGGCTGACTAAATACTTTTTTGCCCCACTGTATTCTCTTTGAAAAAAGCCCTGGTTATAACCTTTGGCAGTTTTTTTTTTCTTCTTTTCCCATCTGTGTCCCACTGGGGAGATTTACTTTCACGTCCTGTCCCACAGTGAAAAGAAGAAGTGAAAGGAAATCCCTGCAAGTTACAGGAATTCTTTGTGGCCTCCAAATCACCAGAACTAGTGTCCCCATTGAAAGATTTCTCCTTCATTATTTTTCTGGGAACAACCCAAAACGTGGGATTATCTTTTACTTTCACTTTTGGTGATACAGGACAAATAGAGTGGGTGAACCTAATGGGGGCACAGACAGCAATACAAACCTTATAGCTGTTATAATCCATGCCCACGATATCCAAAACTAAAAAAAAAAATTGCCTTTAGTTATATTTTATTTATTGACTTTTTCTTTCAAAAATGTCCTAACTCTTTCTTTCTTTGGTTATTCTTTTTTTTAGAACTAAGCTCTATGGCAGTTAGCACCAAAGGACCTTTGCAGAGGTACATAAAGAGGACATGTAAGTTTGCTAATATACTTTATTTTATGTGTTTTCACATCACTTTCTATTTCTTACACCATCCTAATGTTCAATTTAAAAAACGGCATCCAAGAGGTGCTGGGACTTAGACATGAGTTTCTACAAAGTAATTTGAGGGCAAAAACATTTTAAGTACCCATTGGCTTAGGTAAGGCTGATCACAACAGACAAGGCTACCCTCCAGTGGGTACTCCAGCAGGTCACTCAACAAAAACATGCATACATGGAAGGAGAACCAGAGCAAAAGATAAGAGTTTCAATTCATTTATTGATATGTTGCTAGAAAACAGCCAACATGTTTTGGGTGTCAAAGGTACCAACCCCCCACCTTTCATCAGGGCTTCAGTTAAAAGGGAGAACCTTGAATGGACTCAAAGTAAGCTTTTCCTGTTTAAATCTATGCAGGGAAGCTCATTGCTGCATTAGAAAATGACTGGCCAGAAGCATCTGGAGTCAAAATTCTGATTGCAGATGCTGCTGGCCATGAATTTTCTAATCCAGAAATCAGCTTCCCTACACATATTTAACCACTTCAGCTCTGGAAGATTTTACCCCCTTCATGACCAGGCCATTTTTTGCTATTTGGCACTGCGTTATTTTAACTGGCAATTGTGCGGTCATGCAATACTAAATACAAATTAATTTTATATCATTTTTTTCACACAAATGCAGGGGGGGGGGGGGGGAAACTATACTTTTGTATCCAATCAAAAAAATCGAATTTCTTCATAAATTTAGTCCAAAATGTATTCTGCTACATATCTCTGTTAAAAAAAACAATAAGTGTATATTCTTTACTCTGTAGAAAAGTTAGCACCCACAAACTATAGAATATGTATCTGAAAAGTGATCAATCCTGATGTACTGATGGATTATCTCATTTCTTATGGCCCTTAAATTGCCAGGACAGTACAATTACCCCCCAAATTATCCCTTTTGGAAAGTAGACAATCTGAGAAGCATGGAAAGTTTTTTGAAGATTTAATTTTTTGGAAAATAAAGAAATTAAATACTTTATTTTATAATATATATTTTTTTACATATCATCACCAGCACAGTACAGCATCATGATATAAAAGGTGTGGCGGTGATCAGGGACACTGACTGATGACAGCATGTTAAAAAACAAGTAAATAAATAATTGTCAAATAATTTTTATTCAGTATTTGAAAATGTTTTTTTATGTTTATATTTTTTTTTTAAATAAATCATTTTTTAAATAATTTCATCAGAGTAATTCAATGTTATCATAGTAACATTGTACTACTCTGGATGGTGATCAGGGTTTTTTATTTTTTGAAACTCTGATCTTATGCTTTGAACTGTCACGAATGGGTTAAGTTCATGACAGCTGTGAATACTAGTGATCTGTGATTGGCTATAGCTAATCACATGGCGCAGGGTGCTGTGATTGGCCCAGGTACCATGTGATATCCAATCATGGCTCACTAGTAAAGGTAGCACAGCTTTTATGAATCTTTGTTGACGTTGTGATCATGTGATTGCTTAGCGATCATGTGATCACCGGGCCCCATGTACCAGGATCTTCATTTCGCTGTGTCACTGCATGACACTGTGTGGACCGGGTCACCGGGTGGGGGTGGGGATAGGGATGTTGTGTGTGCGCCTAAGGGGCACCCCTCTGAGCCTGTAAAGGCAAAATTACGTATGGCTACATCGTTTTGCCTGTCCATAAATTTTGGAACTGCCTCATTCTTTCAATATTCTAGACAGGCAGCCCCATCTGTTGAGAAACATGGGAACTAACTCTGAATAGATTCATTTTTGCGCCAAGTGAAGAAGCAGAGGTTTCTGAGCGTGAACCTTTGTATTATCAAATGAGTGAATCCTGGGTGAAAAGTTTAATAGATTTACTCTTTATGGTTTGCATATAAGTGTCAGGTGCTTCCATACACTTGTGCTTGGAGTTCCTCAGCATTCTGCTGAGCCAAATTGGGAGAGGTATCTAGAAGAATGACAGTGGCAGCATCAACACAAACACACGATGCACACCACATTATTTTAAGTATGTAGGAAAGTAAGGCCCGGAGCGATAAAAAAAAAAAAAAAAATAGCGGAAGGCAGACATGACAGTGTGAAGAGGGGGTACAAGCCTGGAAGAGGTTAATAGGAGGCTGTTTGCATTTGAAGCAAGAGGCTTTCCTGATTGGGGGGTGGTGTTTGGCTGGGTAGGGTCCTGGGCCAGCTTGAGGAGGGGTGGTTTAGACCAGGTGTCCATTAGAAATCATAGGACAACGAAGACAGCCTCCCACCCAACCTCCCTGTGTTTGTCATTTTGATGCTGGCAATTGTTGCTTTAGCTGATGTCATGGCAGCTGGGCAGTTGTTGGTCTTTGGAGGTGGTAAAAGTTTAGGCTAAGAAAATGGTTGCAGTTGAACACAGGCACAATTTTAGATTTTTCAGGTATTGACCAAAACATATTCAAGGTATAGTTATACAATGGATATGGGCTGAAAGTGCACAATTTCAGGTTTAATTTGAGGTATGTACAGTGGGGATCGAAAGTTTGGGCACCCCAGCTAAAAATTGTATTAATGTGCATAAAGAAGCCAAGGAAAGATGGAAAAATCCCCAAAAGGCATCAAATTACAGATTAGACATTCTTATAATATGTCAACAAAAGTTAGATTTTATTTCCATCATTTACACTTTCAAAATAACAGAAAACAAAAAAATGGTGTCTGCAAAAGTTTGGGCACCCTGCAGAATTTATAGCATGCACTGCCCCCTTTGCCAAGCTGAGACCTGCCAGTGTCATGGATTGTTCTCAATCATCGTCTGGGAAGACCAGGTGATGTCAATCTCAAAGGTTTTAAATGCCCAGACTCATCTGACCTTGCCCCAACAATCAGCAACATGGGTTCTTCTAAGCAGTTGTCTAGAAAACTGAAACTGAAAATAGTTGACGCTCACAAAGCTAAGCTGGAGAAGGCTATAAGAAGATAGCAAAGCGTTTTCAGATGTCAATATCCTCTGTTCGGAATGTAATTAAGAAATGGCAGTCATCAGGAACAGTGGAAGTTAAAGCAAGATCTGGAAGACCAAGAAAAATATCAGACAGAACAGCTCGCAGGATTGTGAGAAAAACAATTCAAAACCCACGTTTGACTGCACAATCCCTTCAGAAAGATCTGGCAGACAATGGAGTTGTGGTACACTATTCCACTATAAAGAGATACTTGTACAAATATGGTCTTCATGGAAGAGTCATCAGAAGAAAACCTCTTCTATGTCCTCACCACAAAAATCATCGTTTGAACTTTGCAAATGAACATATAGACAAGCCTGATGCATTTTGGAAACAAGTTCTGTGGACCGATGAGGTTAAAATTGAACTTTTTGGCCGGAATGAGCAAAGGTACGTTTGGAGAAGAAGGGGCACAGAATTTAATGAAAAGAACCTCTGTCCAACTGTGAAGCATGGGGTTGGATCAATCATGCTTTGGGGTTGTGTTGCAGCCAGTGGCACAGGGAACATCTCACGAGTAGAAGGAAAAATGGATTCAATAAAATTTCAGCAAATTTTGGATGGTTCCTTGATGCCATCTGTGAAAAAGCTGAAGTTAAAGAGAGGATGGCTTCTACAAATGGATAATGATCCTAAACACACCTCAAAATCCACGGGGGATTACATCAAGAGGTGTAAACTGAAGGTTTTGCCATGGCCTTCACAATCTCCTGACCTCAACATCATTGAAAACTATGGATAGACCTTAAAAGAGCAGTGCGTGACAGACAGCCCAGAAATCTCAAAGAACTGGAAGACTTTTGTAAGGAAGAATGGGCAAAGAAACCTCAAACAAGAAAGACTCTTGGCTGGCTCCAAAAAGCTTTTACAAGCTGTGATACTTGCCAAAGGGGGCAGTACAAGATATTAACTCTGCAGGGTGCCCAAACTTTTGCAGACGCCATTTTTTTGTTTTCGGTTATTTTGAAAGTGTAAATGATGGAAATAAAATCTAACTTTTGTTGACATATTATAGAATGTCTAATCTGTAATGTGATGCCTTTTGGAGATTTTTCCATCTTTCCTTGGCTTCTTTATGCACATTAATACAAATGTTTAGCTGGGGTGCCCAAACTTTCGATCCCCACTGTACATCCAAATTGGAGGAAAGGTTTAGGAATTACAGCTCTTAAGCGTAGCCTACCCCCCTTTTAAAGGGACCAAAAGTAATTGGACAAATGAATATAATCATAAATAAAATGTTCATTTTGAATATTATGTTGAGAATTCTTTACTGGCAATGACTGCCTGAAGTCTGGAACCCATGGACATTACCAAAGACTGGGTTTCCTCCTTTCTGATGCTTTGCCAGCCTTTCCATGCTTATATGTATTTATAATTGTACTTGACGTGTTTTCTGGATATCATCCACTTCATCACTTCATCAGGAGCTAATATGAAGACACGACTAAGAAAAACAACAGTAATTTTATTAACACAACAGTTTTTACATAATAAACAAATCATGTCCATCATCACCTTGCCAATTTGGCTATCTGAGAACCACATGCATGTGAGCTTTGCTGTAAACCACTAGAGACTCAGGAAGGGAAAAAAATGGGACCCAACCAACAACCAGGAGCAGCCAAAACCCCGACCCTCACATAGCTGTATCACTGAAATTGGTTATTATTATTATTATACAGGATTTATAGCACTTTACAATATAAAGGGAGACAATACAGCAGTGATACAGTTCAATACAAGAGGGTTAGGAGGGCCCTGCTCCTTGGAGCTTACAATCTAAGAGGGAGGGGCTGGTGGTACAAAAGGTAATAACTGTGGGGGATGAACTGATAGGAGGAATAGAAGATTCTGTTGTTAGCTGAAGGCTTCCCTGAAGAGAGAGGTTTTCAGAGATCGCCTAAAAGTGGGTAGAGTAGGCAATAGTCGGATAGATTGGGGTAGAGAGTTACAGAGGATGGGGGAAGCTCTGGAGAAGTCCTAGAGACAAGCATGGGAGGAGGAGGCTAGAGAGCAGGAGGTCGTGCGAGGAGTGGAGAGGACAGTTTGGGTGATATTTGGAGAAAAGATTGGTGATGTAATTTGGGGGGAGTTACAAATGGCTTTATATATTATTGTTAATGTTTTGAGTTTTATTCGTTGGGCAATGGGAAGCCAGTGGAGGGATTGGCAGAGAGGGGTGGCTGATACAGAACGGTTAGTAAGGTGGATGAGTCTGGCAGCAGCATTAATGATAGACTGAAGAGGGGATAGCCTGCGATTAGGTAGGCCAATGAGGAGGGAGTTACAATAGTCAAGGCGCGATATAACCAGGGAATGAATAAGTTGCTTAGTGGTTTCTGAGGTTAAGAACGGGCGTATCTTGGAGATGTTGCGGAGGTGAAGTCTACAAGATTTGGACAGTGATTGGATTTGGGACTGAAAGGACAGATGGGAGTCTAGGATTACAGCTAGCACCCTGGCTTGAGGGCAGGGACTGATGATTGTGTTATTGATCTTGATGGAGAATTCAGATCAGGGAGGGGGCACGAGCTGGGGGAATAGTATGAGCTCCGTTTTAGAAAGATTGAGTTTGAGGAAGTGGAGTGACATTTATGCTGATATGTCACTTAGTAGGTTAGTAATGTGAGAGGAGACTGAAGGGGTGAGGTGTGGAAAGATAGATTTGTGTGTCATCAGCATAGAGATGTTACTTGAAGCCATGGGAGTTTATCAAGCGACCAAGGGAGGAGGTGTAGATGGAGAAGAGAAGGGGTCCAAGGGCAGAACCTTGAGGGACCCCTACAAAAAGAGGAAGTGAAGAGGAGGAGGCAGCGTTATAGGTAACACTGAAGGAGCGCTGCAATAGGTAGGAGGAGAAACCAGGAGAGAGCAGAGTCTCAGAGGCCAAGAGAGTGGAGTTTGTTGAGGAGGAGGGGATGGTCAACAGTATCAAAAGCCGCAGAGAGGTCAAGTAGTAAGAGTACCGAGTAGTGCCCATTGGTTTTAGCAGTTAGCAAATCATTAGTGAGTTTTAGTAGGGCAGTTTCAGCGGTTCTTTAAGCAGTCTTAACCTTTTCACTGCCAGAGCCATTTTTTTGCGTTTTTTTGCATACATGTTTAAAAAATCATTTTAGGCCCAAAGATTGCATAAACTCCCAAAACATTATATATTTTCTGAAAGCAGACACCCTAGAGAATAAAATTGTGGTAGTTGCAATTTTTTTATGTCACACAAGATTACCACAAAAGTCTAGGAAACGCAAACTTTCAGTAACAAAAAAAACAAAGTAAAGTTAATAAAGTTAATTTTAGGGCACACAAATGCAATAACCCAATTTTTAATAAGATATAAAAGATGAGGTTGTACTGAGTAAAGAGATACTCAACATGTCAAACCTTTAATTTGTGTGTGCCTGTGAAATGGCGACAAACTTCAGTACCATATATTTTCCTGACAGTGAAAAACCACTACGCAGTTTAAGAGTAAGGTGCTTCTCCTCCAACAATTTCATTGAGTGGCCCCGTGTCTTCTTACACTGCCTGAGAATGGATAGTTTATTTCCTATGCTAGAATCACCATTAAGGTATTTGTATATTGCTATCATATCTCCTCTCAAGCATTGCTTCTCCAGGGAAAAAAGTTTATATTTCAATATATTTATTAAGGATTTTTATAAAACATTATACAGAAAAACAGAAAACGCAACCCACCAACATGACGAGTTGCAGAACATCAAGCAATAAAACAGTACATTCAAGTACAATGTGTAGCAACACAACAACAAAATCGACCAATAAAGCGTAATGAGGAATTTGGGGAGAAACGTTTAAATGCCCCCTATAGGTCATTAAATGTCATTAAATTGGTGTTACAGTTCTGTACTTTAACATGCATTGCAGTATCCCGCAACAGAATTTCCATTTTACTGCAATATAATAGTCTAAATCTGACTGTTTAGGCATAGTAAACATTTATGGCTTAACATCATTTGATTGTCATATATACAAAATAAAAATGTAAACTATACGTTTATAAACTTATCCTTTTAACTCTCTTATAGATCCTCCTGGGTGGCCACAAATCACAGAGTGTCGATCCCCCCAGCAGGAAACCTTTACCTGCCACTGGACTTATGGGGAACTTCATAACCTAACTGGCCTGATAAAGCTGCAATATAAAAAAGGGTAAAGTACATTTTTCTTCAATAACAAAACATTATGTACTGTATGGAATGGACATATAAAAAAATCTAATGAACAAAGGTCTGCACCAAATGGACTGAAGGTTCTCCATCTAAGCTGCAGTCATACAGTGACAAAATGTCTTAAAAAAATATATAAAGAATTGTGACTGTGCTATGACAGCTAAACTACATTGAGTATGTTTACAAATAAATAAAATGTGATGTAGTGATGCTTGCATAATATTACATAAACATCAATCCATCGTGGTTGAACAATTTGAATAAACTGGATACAAAGTGTTCATAATACCTAAATAAATTCTAATGAATTAATATAGGTGTCATCAATTACTTCACAATCAAAGTGAACTGATATCAAAGTGGTCCAAAAAACATGTGTAAAGTTCATAGGATTCCAAATGTAACGTAATCCAACACCACAGAATGAAAATCTATGCTTAATGTGAATTCCATGCATTAATCGGTGCTCTCAGAACTCTCATCTCCAACGCATGTAAAAGTGCGTGTTTGATGAGACATCTCCACAGCTGATCATTATCTCCTTTGGCCATTAGGGGCTATCCACTCCTCCTCCCTTATGGTAGATGTTAAAGTAGCCTTAAGGATCCACCATTTCACTGAATAACAGTTGCCTCACCCAAGAGGGAATATTCCTCATATAGTGTAGTAGATGAATAAAACTTCCAATATTTATTAATATTGCACTTACATTCAAAAATAAAAGTACAGTAATTTGTTTTACAGATAAGAATTTGCAGCTTGTACTTCCTTTATCTGCCTTCGCTTACGCCCGACGCGTTGTGTCACGATCACGTGACTTCATCAGGGAACAATAAATATGTATATAAGTGCTTGCAAAAAACATCTAGGTAAATAATATGTGCAAAAAAAATGTAGGATGTCAATAAATATATGAGTGAATCAACTAGTGTAAAAAAAATATCAAAATGTTCTGATTACCAAAATATATTTCGTTCTGAGTACAAAAAAAAAAAACAAAATCAGATCAAAAATGTGTGTTCTCCATGTATGTGTGTACCATCAAATCAACATTTCCATTAATATCCCTCCAACATTTTTTAAATGTATTTATTTATAACTAATTTAAACTTTTTAAAATTAATTAATTTATAAGTTATATGTTAAAAAAAAAGTTGGGATATTTAATGGAAATATTGATTTTAGTGTACATATATACATAGTGAACACATTTTTATTTGATCTGGGTTTTTTTTTTCATATTTTGGTACTCAGATCATTTTGATATTTTTTTAAGCTGGTTTATTTACTCATATATTTATTGACATCGTAGATTTTTTTTGTGCACATATTATTTACATAGATATTTATTGCAAGCACTATACATATTTGTTATAGTTTAACTGTCATAGCACAGTCACAGTTCTTTATATATATAAAAAATCTGGCTTTCAGACTGGTCCACTCTCATTGCTGCTGTTCTGTGTAGGAAGGTATTGCACAGTGTTACTTAAAGCAGAACTACACTGTATCTGAGCAGCCCAATCAAAAATGCTATTTATTTCATGTTTAATATTCGGAGCAACCCCCCCCCCCCCCCCAAACAACCAACCATCCATGCTTTATTTTGATTAGAAATCACTTTGAAAACCATCCCCTAGCATTTCTGGTCATGGCTATCTTGAGTAGGGGCAGTTGTTCAGTGAAACAGTAGATCCCTAAGGCTACTTTAACATCTGTCTGCATGCCTGAGCTAAGGACAGATGGTAGTGGAATCCATCTGTCCTTAGCTCAGCATGCAAACAGATGTGTGTGCTTAGCTCAAAAAAACCCTCCTCCCCTCCTGAAGACGCCTGGGATGTATGACATAATTTTCCTAGGCCTTGATACCAGGAAGTAACTACAAATGTAAAAATAAAAATTAAAACAAGTAAATATGATATACTTTCAATCGATTTACTAATTCTGGCAGCATAAGGATTAAAAATAGTCAATGTTGGTTGAAAGAGTAAAGTTCCGCTTTATTATCACTGAACTGATCAGGAATATACATACCCTGGCTACTTTATTAGGTACACCTAGCTAGTGCCAAGAAAATATCCCCCACACCATTATACCCACCACCAGGCTGAACCACTGATACAAAGCAGGATGGATCCATGCTTTCATGTTGTTTACGCAAAAATACTGACTTTACCATCTGAATGTTGCAGCTAAAATCGAATGTCCATTTTCCTCTGACCTGTTCAATTGCTTGGTAACACAAATTGCTAATCAGCCAATCACATGGCAGCAACTCAATGCATTTAGACATCTAGACGTGGTGAGGACAAATTGCTGAAGTTCAAAGCAATCATCAGAATGAGGAAGAAAAGGGATTTAAGTAACTTTGAATGTGGCATGGTTGTTGGTCCCAGACAGGCTGGTCTGAGTATTTCAAAAACTGCTGATCTACTGAGATTTTCACACACAATCATCTCTAGGGTTTACAGAGAATGGTCCAAAAGAGAGAAAATCTCCAGTGAGCGGCATGAAAATGCCTTGTTGATGTCAGAGGAGAACGGACAGCCTGGTTCGAGATGATAGAAAGGCAACAGTAACTCAAATAACCACTTGTTACAACCAAGGTATGCAGAATACCATCTCTGAATACACAACATGCATAATGCTATCATGTCAATATGGACAAAAATCTCTGAGGAATGTTTCCAACATCTTGTTGAATCTATGCAACAAAGAATTAAGGCAGTTCTGAAGGTAAAAGGGGGTCCAACCCGATACTAGCAAGGTGTACCTAATAAAGTGGCCGGTGAATGTATGCTTGCTTGACTTTCTGTAACATACCTTACTATGTACATTTTCTCTTATTAGAGATTTGGATTGGGCTGACTGCCCTGACATGGTGTCGGCTGGTGAAAACACATGCTATTTCAGTAAGAACTACACAGCGGTTTGGGTGACATATCAAGTCCGTCTCGTCTTTGACAATGAGACATTTGATGACTATCACTTCAGTGTCGATGACATTGGTAAGTTGTTTTCTTATGAACTAAAATTCATAATGAGCTTGTGGTAATTATAACTCTTATACAGTCATTTATGTTTACACTTTTAGTTAAAGATGGACTCCAAATTCAGCCAAAAGTAGGATGCTGTAAGGACATTCTAATATATTAAATATCTGTGTACCATTTTAGAACTACCTGAATATAAATTAGATGCCCTGAGAAAGAAGGGGCAGCACAGTGGCTAAATGGTTAGTACTTGCGCCTGGCAGCACTAGGGTCGTTGGTTCGAATCCCAGCCACAGCACCTCCTGCCTGGAGTTTGCATGTTCTCCTTGTGCCTGCATGGGTTTCCTCCTACGTGCCAAAGACATGCTGGTAGGTTAATTGGATCCTGTCTACATTGGTCCTAGTATGTAGGAATTTGAGTTCGGGATCTTAGATTGTACTCTCCTTGAGTGTTAGGGACTGATGTGAATGTACAATATATATGTAAAGCGCTGCATACATTGACAGTGCTATATAAGTACCTGAAATAAATAAAGGAAAGAAGCTTTGTGAACTATGGCATCAGCTTTTGGCTTCTTCTTGTTTGTGCTGTAGTTTTTATACTTGTTCAGCATCATCTATTGACTGAAGGGAAAATGCCTAGCCCATTCTTTTTGGAAGGAATGCATGGCATGCATTGTTTAGTATATACAATATATTATATGACCAGCCAGCAGGCTGCAGCTGTCACTGTTGATTTCAATGGGGGTTATTTACTAAAACTGGAGCGTGAAAAATCTGGTGCATGGAAACCAGTCAGCTTCCAGGTTGTATTACCAAAGCTTAACTGAACAAGCTGAAGTTAAAAGCTGATTGATTTCTACGCACAGCTGCGCCAGATTCTGAATGCACCAATTTTAGTAAATCTCCCCCAATGTGTAAAAAAAGTTACTTAAATAATATGTATGTGTAAAATAGCAAAAATATATTTTCACATTGTAATATACTAATCAACGTATTAAATAAAAACACTAGCAAGGTATTTATTAACCAAAGTCATTATTGTCAAGTTAATCAGCACTTATTCCTTCTGTTGCACTACATTGTAGCATGTTGGAAAGAAAACATTTCATGTATTGGCTACATATTGGAATAAATGGCAAAACGCGTATGAATGTGCGCATGAGTAGGAATTCCACAAAGTTAGATTTCTGCTGTCATTGCACCATGTCATCTATTTGTATTCTGATTTGTAACATTTTACAATTTTGTTTATTAAGTGCGTCCGGACCCTCCCATGGCTTTGAGCTGGACATCTCTCAACGTCAGCGTAACCCATTTATACATGGACATTGAGCTAAACTGGCAGCCTCCAGCCACAGCTGATGTTAAACGTGGATGGCTCACACTTGACTATGAAGTACATATAAAACTGGCCAGTGCAGCAAAATGGAAGACGGTAAAGATATATTGATCATGTTCACAGGCAGGCAGAATTCAAGATAGATTAGAGATGACTAGGGAAGTCCAAGCCAAAAAGAAACATATACAGTATAGTATGTTCCAAGGGGAATTAAATATTTGATAAAATGTTTTAAAAAAAATGTGCCAGAACTATCACTATATAATGTACACTACAAAGCCAAACGGTTGTGGACGCCTGACAATTACTCCTGTCTACAGTATATGGCCTTGCGTATGTCCATACCCCTTCAAATAATAGTGTTCACATGTTTCCAGTGAAGGGTAGTAATAATGCCACAGCATACAAGGACATTTTAGACAATCATCTGACAAAAGTTTGGGGAGGTCCTTTTCTTTTCCGGCTTGAATGTTTCCCTGTACACAAAGCCACATCCAAAAAGACATGGTTTGATATGGAGTAACACTAGTGACCTGCACAGAGCCCTGACCTCAACCCTACTGGACACCATTGGGATGAATTCAAATGCTGGTTGTTAGCCATATTTTCTTGTCTAGCACCAGAACCTGACCTTACAAATGCTACAGTATTTTAGTCAAATTTCCATCAGACATTGTTCAAAATCTCATGGATGGCCTTCCAAGAAGAGTGGAGGAAACAAAAAAGAGGGGCACAACTCCATATTAATGCCCATGGTTTTAGAATGGCCTGTCCAACAAGCTTATATAAGTATATTAGTCAGAGGCCTACAAACCTTTGGACCTGTAGTGTATATGTTGTTAAAGAGGAACTGAACGTTTGAAGCTGTGCCCAAAAACAGGTCGACAGAAGTCAAAAGAATAGTCTGCAGTATTTGCAGTCCTTTCCCTGCAGCTGATCTTTTCTTTCCCCATTACTGACCTACTATGCTTTGTTTTGCACTGTGTTTTGCTTCCTTGTGTCAGAGCCCCCAGCAAGGAGAACAGTGACCTGCACAGTAGTGCCATCACCAAGTCACACTCCAAATCTCCTGAGACTAGCTGTCAGAGACAGCAATGCTTCGCACTGCAGATATACAGTTATGAGACTGTAAACATGGGAGTGCCTAGGCACACTCACATACCAGGATGTGCACTGTTATTTTTCAAAAAGAATTGCAAAGGTACATTTTTCAGGATACTGCTTAGGCACAATTAATATTTATAAATGTTCACTACAGCAAAACAAACCTTCACTTTTTGAATTCAGTTCAGCTTTAAAGCTGAACCACAGCCTACAAGTGCAAGTACCTGAATCTCTCTTGATATTAGCCTCCTATTATCCCCTGTAGAGTGACAATCATTCAGAGAGAGGAAGGTCCCACGTTAGAAGCCAATCTGACTCCGTTACCTGTACTAAGCGTTGACATGCTGACAGAAAGGAGAGCATACATATTAACTGTAAATGTAAATATGGCTGCCTCATGCCCATAATTAAAGGATAAAATCACCTTCCATAAAAAAATAGTGAAAGCGCATTTTTTTGCAGGTAAAAAAAATGTGCATTTATTATTTTTTGTGTAAGGAGCCTGTAAAGCATTGCACCAGCCATAAGCAGATCTCTGATGCCATGCAGGTCTCCTGCACGCTGTCAGTGTTTCTGCTTGCTTGTACATCCCACACGGGCAAGCTGATACTTGCTGACAGGAAGACTGAATGAACTACCACAGCGCTCACAATGCCATAGTAGTTCATTGAGGACTATAAGCTGTCGGCTGCTAAGGCTGTCAGAACTTGTAGTGTGTTGATTCACAGAGAACTGTAAATGAATGACACAGCCGTGTGGGCAGAGCAGCGCTGTTTTTGAAAAGTGACAGTTAGTACGGGGAACTTCTCCCCATACTTCTGTCAAAGCGGGTGGCTGCAGGATCGAGAACATGTTGCTAACAACGGGTGGAACATGTATCATTTTCCCAAAGGTGAACTAATCCTTTAATTACACATAGAATATTTTTAAAACTTTAAAGTGGAATTCTAGTCATCATCTAGAGTGCTGTGAAAAAGTTTTTTCCCCCTTCCTGATTTTTTATTTTGTTGCATATTTGTCACACTTAAATGATTCAGATCATCAAATAAATGTTGATATTACACAAAGATAACCCAAGTTAATGCAAAATGCATTATTTCATTTATTAAGGGAAAAAGGTTGTCCAAACCTGCCTAGCCCTATGTGAAAAAATAATTACCCCCCTCCCCCCCTTGCTAAATCATGAATGAATTGTGATTAACAAATGTTTTTGGAAAGCTGAGGTAAATTTCACTTGCCACACCCATGCCCATTATTGCCAGACCTGTTGAATGAAGAAATCACTTAAATAGAAGCTGCCTGACAAAGTGAAGCACGCTAAAAGATCTAAAAAAGCAACACATCATTCCGCCATCTAAAGTAATTCCAAAACAGATGAGAAACAAAGTAATTGACATGCATCAGTCAATGCCATTTCTAAGGTTTTGGGACTCTAGCGAACCATGGTGAGAGCCATTATCCACAAATAGAGAAAGCTTAGAACAGTAGTGAACCTTCCCAGGAGTGGCCAGTCTATTAAAATTACTCCAAGAACACAACAACGACTCATCCAGGAGGTCATAAAAGAAAATGGCGTCCATGGGAGAGTTCCAAGGTGAAAGCCAGTGCTGACCAAAAAGAACACAAATGCTCCTCTCACATTTGCCAAAAAACATCTTGGTTATCTCCATGACTTGTTCAAATATTCTGTGGACTGATGAGACAAAAGTTGAACTTTTTGGAAGGTATGCATCCCTTTACATCTGGCATACATCTAACACAATCAAATAAAATATCCACGCTATGGACTAATTCCCAGGTGTATATTAAAGCAGCCGCTGACACACAACCCTATGGGGACATAAATATGAAAACAACAGATTTTTGGTGTGGCGCTACAAAACACCTTCCCCTTATTCAAAAGGAGAAGTGTTTTGTAGTGCCACACCAAAAATCTGTTGTAAAATTAACACAGCATTTCATAAAAAGAACATCATAGCAACAGTCAAACACAATGGTTGTAGTGTGATGGTCTGGGGCTGCTTTGCAGCTTTCAGGACCTGGACGACTTGCCATAATTGATGGAACCATGAATTCTGCGCTCTACCAGAAAATCCTGAAGGAGAATGTCCGGATATCAGTTTGTGACCTCAAGCACTTGGGTTATGCAGCAGGACAATGATCTGAAACACACCACCAAGTCCACCTCTGAATGGTGCAAAAAAAGCCAAAATTAAGTTTTGGAGTGGCCTAGTCAAAGTCTGGACTTAAATCTGAGATGCTGTGGCATGACCTTAAACAGGCCATTCATGCTTGAACACCTTGCTGTGTCGCTGAGTTAAAACTATTCTGCAAAGAAGAATGGGCCAAAATTCCTTCACAATGATGTGAAAGACTCATTGCCAGTTACCACAAACTCTTGATTGCAGTTGTTGCTGCCAAGGGTGGCACAACCAGTTATTAGGTTTAGGGGGCAATTACTTTTTCACATACGGCCAGGAAGGTTTGGAAAGCTTTTTTGCCATAATAAATTAAATCATTTAAAAGCTGCATTTTGTGTTTACTCGGGTTACTCGGGTTATCTTTGTGTAACAGTAAAATTTGTTTGATGATCTGAATAATTTAAGTGTGACAAATATACAAAAAAGAAAAAATATCAGGAATAGGCTGAATACGTTTTCACAGCACTGTAACTAACACTAAACCTACTTCCTTCAGCACTCTAAAGCTATTCTATCTAACCCTGTAAAGAAAAGATCGCTATACTTACCTATTCTGAAGCTGCTCCGGTCAGTCCAAGGCTGAGCTGTCAGAGGTTGCTTCTGTGTGCAGGACAATTGATGCCCATAGTAAGTCTATGGGTGACATCATCGCCAAGGTTTTTCTCAGCCGTTGTTGGCTTTCTTTCCTGCACAGATGCTGCTACTGGAGATCGGACAAGAGTGGCTTCAGAATAGGTAAGTATAGCGATCTTTCCTGTACAGGATTAGAGTGGCTAAAGAAATGGGATTGGGAGTAGTTTTAGCCTTAGTTAGGTAATGACTGGAATGCTACTTTAAAACATATTGGTAATATTGTTTACATTTTTATTGAGAAATACTTTAACAAAGAATAATGATGACCGTGATCTTGTTTAAATATTTAAAGATGTATGGATAGTGGAGCGAGCGCTGATATTGGTATCAGTAATAAGCAGCTGAACACACTAAAGGGTACACCAAAAAAAAACCTCAAATGAATCAATATAAAATAGTGCAGCGCTAAATAAATGATTGATGTCATCTACCAAACGCATGTATATAATAGATGCGTTTTGTGCCACAAATAATACTGAAGAATATTACTCAGAAAATGAGCATATAAAATAAAAATGAAGTAAAATGCAATCTATAAGAAACGTATCGTCATGATGAGTATGTTGATATAAAAAATGTCCAAAATTATTTAAACTTCTTAAAACTGATGCAATCTTCAAAAAAACTTCTATATAGTCCCAGAATACTGATTCCACTTGATAGAGTGTGTAGATAAACATATAGAATGCACACTCACCAGAAGCGCTAATGAAAAGCGCATTGTATCATAAGTTCCTGAACATGCCCCGGTCCTTCGGGTGTAATCAGGTGTGTAGCCAGGGATTGGATGATCTTCCCAATGGTACTGGTTGTTGATAGCCAGTGCCAATAATCAAGCTTTTCCGGGGTGCTGGGATATTCACTGAAGATGGTACATTCACTGAAGATGGTACTGAGGGATTTAAAGTGCTCAATACAGAGCAAACATTAGGAATATCCCATAGTGTAGTATTTTAAAAGATGCTTTATTATTGGTGCCTAAAATATGATATAGAAAAACATACAGCACTGCAATATGAGATAACAGATGCTGCAATATAAATCACATAAATGTGCATGAAACTGACCAGCTGGAAAAATGTGGTGGCCGTCGGATCCCCGGCTTGACGTCAACGGCTAACAAAAGGGCTCCTCCTTAACGCGTTTCGAACACAACGTTCGTTGTCAAAAGGGGTATGCATACAGCCCTTTTGTTAGCCGTCTATTATATACATGCGTTTCGTAGACGACATCAATCATTTATTTAGCGCTGAACTATTTTATATTATTTAAATATTTAATACATTGGGCCACGTAAGAGAATACACCTAGAAGAATCATGTAGTCCATTTGAGTGTAATAAAGTCAATGAGGACTTTTTACTAAAACTGGAGAGTGCAAAATCTGGTGTAGCTCTGCATAGAAACCAATCAGCTTCCAGGTTTTATTGCTAAAGCTTGACTGAACAAGCTGAAGTTAGAAGATGATTGGCCATCATGCACATGTGCACCAGATTCTGAGTGCACCAGGTTTAGTAAATCTCCCCCAATATGTTAATTTCATTGTTTTATCTTAAAAGCTAATTCCACAAAATAATGTCTCTTTATTATTTGCTTCTTCTAGTATGATTCTGTGAAAACCACATATTTATCGATCTATGGCCTATTGATGGAGAATGAGTACTGGGTGAAAATCCGCTGCAAGCGGAAAGAAGGTTATATGTTCTCAGAATTCAGTGAAGTGCTAATAATCCAACTTCCAATGAGATGTAAGTATCAGGAATTAACACTGACTGGGGGCCAACCACTCACTAATAAGTCCTTATTAGATTACAAACACACATGAAAATGAATGGGTGATAGTCAAAGGCAAGGAAAAAAAAAGGAAAACACCAGCATTACCATTACTACTACCATGACCCCTTGCAGTCTTTGCGAATTTCAAGCTTGACACCTTACTTCTACCATTGCTTCCCATTTGACCTCATCTTTTGCCGGAATAATGTTGTGTCTTTACGACATGGCTGGCTGCATTTCTTTTTTCTTCTTCCTTTCCCTTTCTTTTGTGCACACTGTTTTTAAAGATAAGCTTTCTAATGAGAATACAAATTGTCTGGCAGTCACTGACCCCACATATTAAAGCCAGAGGGTTGGCATTACAGTCAGACAACTAACATCTATAACACCTGCTATCAATGACCTGGAATCCAATCCAGAATCCAAAGGTATCGCTTGTGCAAATGCCAACTAAATGCCTAGAGGAACTTGGACTCATCAATTTATCAAATTCTAAACTTTCAAAACCTGAAATAACAGTCCTCTCCAAAGGCCTCACATTCTGGCCAACCACCAAATTGGATAATTTGCAAATATTGTCAGATATGGAGGAATTCTTCAGGAGACTTAGGCTCAAAGAATATTTTCATAGTAATGAAAGGAATCCAATGACAATGGAATGCGACAAAAAGGAAAAGAATAGCAATTCACACCTCCACAAGGACAGAACCCCAAACTGAACACCTATATTGACAGCTTCAGACTGCGAGTTACATTCCTGATGTCCACCCAGCAAAAGAAAATGTTACACAATCTGTCACCACTGGAGTAAAGGGCTATAATTGATCTACACAATAATTAGGCTATCAACATCAAACCAGTGAATAAAGGGGGAGCAGTTGTTGTGATAGATACAAATACATACAAGAGGGCCAGAGGCAGCTGGCAAATGGCACTTACTATAAAAAACTGGATTATGGTCTGACCCAGGATTTTACTGAGCAATTAAAAGGTCTCATTAAAACACTACCAACCCACCTACATTCAGAGCTTATCAGCGCGATACTGGATAATCCAGAAATTGGGAACTTCTGCATGCTGCCCAAGATCCACAGGCCAGGAAATCCAGGCAGACCCATCATAACAGGTATGAACACACTTCCCGAACAAATCTCAGGTCTTGTAGAAAAAATTTAAAAACTGTTAGTCATGAATACTGCTAGTATCCTGCAAGACACAACTGATTTTCTGAACAAGATCAACAACATTTACCACCAAATACACTTCTAGTCAGTATGGATGCAGAATCTCTGTACAGTAATATCCCTCACAAGGATGGGTCAGCCGCATGTCAAAGATCCTTATCATCCTCACCAAACGTTAAGGATGTTACACAGCTCATTGAATTCATTCTTACACACAACTAATTCGCTTTCAATAATAACATCTATCTTCATTGTATGGGTACTGCTATGGGAAGTAAAATGGCACCCCAGTATGAAATTTTATTTATGGCTGACCTGGAGGAAAAATTCCTGAACAGCATACAATAAAAGCCATACAGATACTATCGCTATATCGATTATATTTTCACCATATGGACAGAAGGTGAAGAAAATTTAAAACTTTTTTTACTCATTGTAAAGTGACAAATATTTCTGCGCCAATAAAAAACTACAAAGTCTAAACTGCCTCTGTGCAATGTGAAAAACACAAATAATACCAAATATACATAAACAGCGCAAAAATAGACCTCTAAATAAAATAAAACTTTTTTACATAAAGTGAATAATCCTATTAAATTTATCATAAACCATAAAATTAATAGTGGATGTCCCCAATAATAATAAACACCAAAAGTCCGTGTATGATGAAAATAGAAATTTCCAAAAATTCTTCAAATGTAAAGAAGCTTCCACCTTCCACCCGTGCAAACCAACATCAAATGCACTCACCAGATATTGGTGAATGAGAAGCCTTTAGGGATTTTAAAGGGATCCTAAACCCTCTTTAGCATCCACTCTATGGAATTCTTCACCCTCAGAATAGGCTCCACCGTTCAACCGGGAGAGAAAAACCTCAAATAGTGTAATATTGCCAATCAACGATATAATTAAAAACAATGATTAAGGGCACTCACATGTCAGCAGCTTTAAAAAACACATGTATTGTTTTTAATTATATTGTTGATTGGCAATATTACACTATTTGAGGTTTTTTTCTCTCCCGGCTGAACGGTGGAGCCTATTCTGAGGGTGAAGAATTCCATAGAGTGGATGCTAAAGAGGGTTTAGGATCCCTTTAAAATCCCTAAAGGCTTCTCATTCACCAATATCTGGTGAGTGCATTTGATGTTGGTTTGCACGGGTGGAAAGTGGAAGCTTCTTTACATTTGAAGAATTTTTGGAAATTTCTATTTTCATCATACACGTACTTTTGGTGTTTATTATTATTGGGGACATTCACTATTAATTTATGGTTTATGATAAATTTACTAGGATTATTCACTTTATGTAAAAAAGTTTTATTTAGAGGTCTATTTTTGCGCTGTTTATGTATATTTGGTATTTTTTACTCATTGATCAACAACTTTCACCCTTCAATCACACTAAAAATTGATTATTCAAACACACATGTCAACTTCCTGGACTCTACAATACACATCTGAGATGACAAGTTGCAAACCTCAATATACAGGAAATCCACTGACAGATGTAACTATCTCCATAGTTCCAGTTTTCACCCCCAACACAGTAAATGGGCCTTTGTGCACAGGCAGGCCATCTGATACCACCAAATATGCTCAGACCCGGAAGAAAGAGATAAACATCTCAGGATACTAGCAGACCCCTTCCATAAGAAGGGTTACAAGAACAAAACCCATCAATATCGGCATAAACACAGCCTTGAAAATCCAAAGAGTAAATCTGCTTCAATACAAAAAGACCGTGTATCTCTAGTAACCACATATAATCCAACACTAGAAGGGATAAGAAAGATCTTCAAAGATTTACAACCCATCATTATAGAAGATGAAACCCTAAAAGAAATATTCCAGCAACCCCCAATACTGGCTTTCAGACAACCACCCAGCTTCAGACATAAACTAACCAACAGGAAACTTCATTCTGATCATGAAGTCACATATAATGAAGCAAACCCTGCAATAAAAAATGATGCAAACTGTACTACCAAATCAATTCATCTAAAAGTGTCACACACACAAAAAAGGGACCTTTACTATCACTGGATCATACAGCTGCACCTCCAGTAATGTTGTATAATAAATGTAGCAAAGGATCTTATGTTGGTGATAAAGGAGAGAAGTTACAAACAAGGATGAATTTGCACAGACACACCATCAAGGAACATAAGGAAGATATTTTCTACACACATGTGAGACATCATTTCTCACAGATAGGCCACACTATGGAAGACCTCAGTGTCTTAGTTCTTAAAGAGAATTTTAAAACTATTCAAATAAGAAAAACTTTTGAACTAAGAATTTTAGTTCTATTTGACACAAGAGATATTGGCTTAAATCTGTGACTCTATTCCTGCCCTCCCCCCTTGGTCCAATCCATAGTTCAATTACCATTGCTGTGTACATTTGTTTTTGTTTTTTTGTCTTATTTTAACATTCTGCTAGAACTTTGTGCTTTACTACTGATGGGACCTTGAAGAAGGGGACACACCCTGAAAGCTTGTCCTGAAAAATTGTATGTTAGTGCAAATAAAAAAAAGTATTGCGGATGTTACTCAATTGTTTGTGCACTAATATGGCTACAGTCACCTCAAGTCAGACAACTAGCAATTTTAGAGAAAGGCCAACAGCAACCTATGTAATTCTCTGATGACAGGTTTCTTTTAAACGTTCCAGTTTAAATTTCAGTATTTTGGGGGTATAGGGTACTTGTGAGTGCTACCTCTTCTCTCCCACAATGCAGTGCTTGGAATGTGAGAATTTCACATGGAGATGCAAGGAAGGAGTGCCCAGAAGAATGCATGTACCTAATATAGGATCTTAACATGGAATGCAGCGGGGATCAGAGGGGTAGACAGGTGTAAAAAAAAAAAAAGAGGTGAGAACAAAGGACGTCCGATATAGACTGGCAGGTAGTCCCCCACTGTATTTCCACTGTCTGAATTTGATTTTATCTTGGTTCAGTAAAGTGGACTGTTTGGAGTGTAGTCGATCAGACGTCTTTTGTTCTCATCTGTGCAGCACACGAGCTGGGCTAGCACCTGAAGGAGGAGTTGTGATTGGAGATTAGGAGTCTCTCTACCTTGAGCAGCGATAAAAATATATGTAAGAAAAGAAAGTAGAGGCATCAAAAGGTGCCTTCTAAACAGCAGGGGGTCTATTTGATTAAATCTAATACAGGTTTAATTTAAAAGACAGGAATCAAACAGAAATAACGTGTTTTCACCAGCTGCATGTGCTGTGTGGGTGATCTAACATTAATGGATGTGATATGATATTATTGATGTGTGATATCCTGCTTTCTTATTCAGTGGGTGGAGTTTGACATATAGACTACATACTAATATGTTCTTAAAATATTTTTGTTTTAGTGCCAGATTCTCCATGGCCATTGTTTGTGATCACTGGAATATTTGCTGTTGTGGTGGCATTGGCATTTTTAATATTTTGCAAAAAGAAAAGGTGAGTTTATTATTTGCAAAAGGTGCATGTGCAAAAGAAAATCCAATACAAGTACACTAGACACATTCCTAGCATTCATCTTCTGTTTTTTACTTTTTACAATGGAACACAATGAAGCCTTCATAACTCGCTTGCATTGCAAATCCAAATAAGAGGGTTGTTCCTAACTTTACTCGCTCTACTCAAACCGACTTGTTCTACCAGCTTTGCCTTTTTTAACTTTGGCGAAGTACAGTGAAAGGTCAATGTGGTTGTATGTTAGATATGTATAATTAACAAATATAGCTGGATTTTATGCAGTAGACTATAGTAAGGTAGTATATTGTTTCATCATGGATCCTGATCCATTCTTAAAATTTGATAATCACCGTTTAAGATCTTATTACATCCTATTTCCATACACAGTTATATATTTATTTCCTGCTGTATTTAGCCTGTAAATTGTATTGGTAAGGTGCTACAAAAACATATAGGGGTATATGCTGTTCTATTGAGATTTGTAATGTTGTAAAGGTCAAGGAGAGATTTTTTTTTTTTTTTGGTCATTCATACATAGTGTTGTATAATAAAGATTCTCTATATTTATAATATATATATATATATATATGTATGTATTTTTTTTATATCCTGTGTTTCAGAGTGGTACTTCTTGGTTAGGTGGTCATTTATACAACTGGTGTGTACATTTGTTGATTTTTTTTTATTTTTTTTTATAGACAATTATGGGCTTTATTTGCGAAGCAGTATCTACTGCTTTAAGACCCGTGGTAAAATACTTTTTAGTGTTTTTCAAAAATTTGTTTGCAGTTCACTACTGAAATACCGCATGAGATATTTTATGAAGTGATGCGGTGTTTTAATAATGAAAACTAGCCAGTGGCCGCCGTATCCTTGACAGCCATGGCTCATTTGCTGTCAGTGGGATTCCCCGCTGACAGCAGAATGTAAACAAAAGAAGTGCCAGCAATAAATTAAAAAAAAAAAAAACAGCATGGGGTTCCTCCCCAATCCTTACCAATCCCTTCAGTTCTGGTATGGAATTTGAGGGGAACCCCAAGCCAAAAATAAAAAAATAAATGGTGTGGGGTCCCCCCAAAATCCATACCAGATCCTTATTCGAGCATGCAGGCCAGGAAAGGGGGTGGGACGAGTGAACAGCAGGTGACCCCATCCCCTTATGACATCATTGACTGAGACATTCTGGGTCAATGACTTCATAGTAGGCGGGTCACACGGTGACATCGAGTGGCCCCGTCCCTTAGTTTATTTAGTGTCATGTAGGCTGCAGAGCAGTCATTTGACCAAGCGTCGGTGCAGGTCAGGGTTTTTTTTTTTTTTTTTTTTTTTCGTGTGGGTTGGCTTCCAGCATTCCTTGTGATGGGTGCATTAGATCTAGTTCAGGGGACTTTTTTTTTTTTTTTTTTTGCTTTTTTGACTAAAGTACTTGTCAAAAACTGTCTCTGGGTTTTTATTAACTTTGCACATTTTTTTTTTTTTTAAATGAGGTACTATGTACCCTATACTCATTCACATGATTCCGATAAGTCACCCCCCAACCCCATAACCGCTGGGACAGGGTTGAGGGGAAGAGACCCCTGTCTTCATCAACATGGGAACAAGGTGCTTTGAACGGGTGTGTCAGAACCTAAATACCGCATGCGATGCTTTAGGGAATGGAGCACATTGTCCTGTTAGTTTGTTTTCTTTCGTGATTAGCTGCCCATGAAAATGCATTGGGTTTGATTTACTAAAGAGAAATAGACTGTGCACTTTGCAAGTGAAGTTGCACTCTGCTAGGGCATTTGCTCAATGGCTTAGTAAGTGAGCTTAAGCTCCCTTGACTTCCATCATCCAATCACGTGCAAGCAAAAATGCTGGGTTTTTTTCCTTCCATGTGGTTGGGTATTCTTTGCAAAGTGAAGCTTTTCCTCGTTTACTAAGCTCTGGAGCAACTGCACTTGCAAAGTGCACAGTTTATTTGCCTTTAGAAAATCAACCCCATTGTGAGCAATTAGCAAGTGCGGAGCATGCGTTTGCAGTATCTAACCTATACTTGAGATACTTCTACAACAATGTATAAATTAAACAATCAAGTATCAACTGCTCATCAAACGCATAAAGCTCAACCAAATTACAGACTCATAATAAATACATGTCAGATGTTGTATAAGCATAACCTTAATGTAGTCCATATCTTCCTTGGCTTTGGAAAAGTAGACATTCTCATAAGCCCTTACAACCTTGACAGTCCTGAACTGACATCAGGAAGAAGCATATTTTACATAGCAACATGGAGTTCTCTGATGCCCAGGACCATAGCAAGAGATGCTAAAATCGAGTACGGCAACTTTTCATGCAGTACATAATGGAGAAAGGGCTTGTGTAGAAACGCTTTGTGTACAGATTAGAACACATCACTGCTCAGACACATGCTTTTGAATGCAAAACAAGCGGGTTTGCATGTGACCTGCTTAGCCTGCAGCACAAACGGATCTCATTCTGATCCACTGCTTCCAAAGAAATGTAAAGTATATCAAACGCAGCTAAGAGTGGCCATCCATACTATACAATAAAAGTAGATGAAAGCCTGCAGACTTGCTATTCGAGTGAATTTCTTATGCATGTAAAATAATAATTGATCAGTTGTAAGATAATTTACAGGATGATGACTTGACCCTGTGCTTGGAAATTGGATTTTATATGGCAGCCTAAAGAGTACCATAGAAAAAGAAAAGAATTAATCTCGGACAGTTTTTTTTTTTTAATGGAAAATGTAAAGAATATTCAGCTTGCTGGGTGACCTTTATGACAATGTGATGCTTTCTAACTTTTTTTTTTATTACATATTGATTCAAACTTTAATAGTACATATTTTTGGCTAGCATAATCTTGCTTCTCTTTCATCTCTCAGGCTGAAGATGTTGATTCTTCCCCCAGTGCCAGCTCCAAAGATTAAAGGAATTGACCCTGCTCTGCTACAGGTTAGTATGACACCAGTGATGTTTACTTACAGTAAATTAGATAAGCAGAGAGATTTGTACAGTATCATAATGTTTTTTTCTTGTCCATTGAGGGACACCGGAAGTCTTTAACCTTCATGTTATACTTCCATTTATAGGAGGATTGGACACTGGGAAACTTAAAAAAAAAAAACTCTAGGCCAGCCCAGACTACTACCAGCATGCCTCAGCTGTTTGCTTGTGTCTTAGGAAGATTAATGACTTTTCTTCAGCTCTGCTGTGTTAAAGACTATTGTATGTTTGCTAGAACTTTTTTTCCTACTCTGACTTTTTTTTTTCTTCAAACAAGACTGTTCTCTATATCAAAGCTAGAGTTTGTTTTTGAGTGCAGCTATGCTGTGCGTTGTCCTCAACTTTGGAGTGGCACGTCCAGATGCTACTGGAGTGGAGATTGTGAGGATAGTCTGGAAGTGACCTTCAGGCACTGGGAAGTTCTTTCCAGACTCTGATCAGGTAAAAGCAGCAAAGCACTATCCAGGGCCAGATCCACTGGCATTGCCTCAGTGCTTGCCCTATCTTTAAAGACTCACTTTGTGATTAGGCCCAATAGGCTGGGCTCTGGCAGCTATATCATTTACATAGGGCGAATGGCAACTTTTAGATTTCCCTTTTCTTAACGGTTGCTACCCCAGAAGTGGTCAACACTGTGGGAATGGGCACTGATCATCCATTGGGTGGAGTGTTGTGCACACATGATCTTGCCATCTTCTTGTTTGATACAACAAGCCATTTTGTTGATTTTGATCTTTTTGCCATACAACATCAAAGAAGCATCTCCCTGATGCTGCTCATGTCTGCAAAGAGCCACGTGGAACTCCAGTCTTCAGTCAGCTGTTGCTGCTTTCCTACAGTGACTTTGGTTACCTCCAGTCACCTTCACCTGGTGCAGCTGTTCAGGTTTCATGAGTTCAGTTTCTTACCCTGAGCCTTACACTGCCTTACTGCAGTGTGGTAGCAACATATCTGATTCTAAACATGGGGAAAATGTCCTGTTCTGCTGGGTGCCCTGAGCTCACACTCTGCTAACATCTCTGGGAATACTTGCTATGAACCAATTGACAGTGTTGACATCTTCAGGCTGCAGTCATGTTGCCCTCTGCTGCTAGAGGCAATTCCGTCATCCAGTTCCTCTTTAGCTCTTTTAGGTGTGGCAGATTCTTCTATTCATTTGGCTGAGGCTTTTACTACAGCCAGCCAAGACTTTATGGCCCAAATCATCCAGTTATTTGCTGACTGTGACTACATAGGCCACAAGCATGCTCCTGCACCTTCTCTAGCAGATCCTCTGTCTGATTTTCCCTAGGCCTTGTCGGCTTGTAAGCCATAGGCTGTAGAGATTCTGCTTCAGCAACTGTTTGACAGACTTGCCACTGAGGTGTGGCAGTCTACTGCTATGACTCCCAACTTAATAGAAACTCTTACTGATGTGTGTTGCTTCCAGTCTTGAGTTCTTTAAAGCTCCTAAGGCTGCAAAGACTTTCCCATTGCACCTGCTTATCCAGCTCATTCTCTGTGAAGGTTAGATTGGATACAACCTGACAAGCTTCCCCCCACCCCGTGGATCAAACAATGTCCAGCCTTGACAAGGTGCTTACTACTCCAGCAGAAGACATGCCTGCCTTTATGGACCCAGCTGTTAGGTGGTTGAAAGACCTCTCTAGAACTCTGTTCTGGCTAGAGGGCCCTACCTTACACTCCATCCTGGCTGTGATTTTACTTTGTTGGCCCTTCTTATTATGTGTTATACCAGTTCTCCTATACATGTATGGTATGTTGCTTCTGAGTGTGGCTTTTCTATGATTCAGTATTGTAAGGGGTCTTCCTTGAGGATGTTGTGTTGTGTCTTTGTTTTCCCCCTTTTTCCCTACGATATTTTGTATTCTGCTAAAACTTCTAAATAAAGAATTAAAAAAAAGATGGGGGGGGGTCCCTAGTTCCTTGTTCCTTACTAATCATCAGACTCTGTGGGATCATTTTACAGCGGGCTTAGGTACCCATGCACATTATTTAATCTTAGCTTTTAAAAGTCTTAGTCTGTAGAGCGTCACACTCAACAAGCATTTTAAAAGCTTCTAAGAACCCTTGAGCTTAAGCCTTAATAGAGGTCTTAATGGAAACACTGTTGTAGTTCTAATGCATTTAACAAGCTTCAACAGAGATTTCGCAAGCTATGGGGGAACCTGAGCTCTGTAGATGATTTGTAAATTCCTGCTGAAGCTCAATTGATTTCTTCAACAATTTCTGTTTTTCAAGCTCTTGTTTACAAGCTAAACAGAATAAGAAATATCTCTGTGTACTTAGCCTAACAAAATGTATGTTAAAAAATGGCACTATATGCACATTTGTTCAAAGCTAACACTGTGTATGCTTGATTCCGCACTATGCACACAAAGGGTAGTAAACTCAACTTGTCAAAGTGTCCAGTAGAAATAGTGTCAATGTTTCCCTTAGCAACCAATCAGCTTCTTAATTTTCATTTCTAATCTGGGTCTTTTTGAAAGCCAATAAACAGCTGACTGATTGCCTTGGAATACAATGGCACATTTCCTTTATGACAGTTTCATAAACAAGGTTAGCTTGTGAATTGTGTTCTTTTAAGTATTAAAATTTTCTTTTTGTGCATTTATGATCAAACTTTCTTTGCAGAAAGGAAAACTGGATGAAGTTAGCTCAATACTTGCCAGCCATGACAGTTATAAGCAACAGCTGTGCATCGATGACCCTTGGGTAGAATTCATTGAGCTTGACCTTGATGAGCAGGAAGAGAAAAATGAAGGAACGGACACTGACCGACTCTTGGGAGAAGAATACCCCAAGACACATAGCTGCCTGGGTGTCAAAGATGATGATTCTGGCCGGGCCAGCTGTTGTGAACCTGATATTCCTGAAACTGACTTCAGCAACAGTGAAACGTGTGATGGAACATCGGACACTGGACAGACTCACAACACAAAAGACAACCAAGCCGATCTCCTGTGCCTTAGTGACAAACCCAACAATGGAGGAATGGCCACGAATTCCCACATGCCAAATGTTGAAAAACCAAGCACAAAGCCTGAAGATGGTAAGTTAAATCCGTTACTCACTGATGGCACGACAAATGTGCCTGCTTCAACCCAGCTAAGGGGTTCAAAGCCGAGCATGGATTTCTATGCTCTTGTAAGCGATATCACACCAGCAGGACGACTTCTGCTCTCACCAGGGCAAAGAATAAAGATGGAGAATGAAGAATGCAGTGAACCAGCACCCACCCAACATCCCACAACCCTCAACATGGACAATGCTTATATCTCTGAGTCGGCGGTGACAGCATTCTGCCCTGTGAATTTCCCAACAGAGAATGTCCCACAAAACCCAAGCATGGATAGTTATTTCACACCTGAAAGCCTTACAGCTGCTGCCATGAGCTCTCGTGCCTCTGAAAAAGCTTCAAGCTACGAGGCGCCCGTGGCGGACTATACCTCCGTTCACATAATGAACTCACCACAAAACCTTGTGCTTAACACTACTGCTCCACCAGGGAAAGAATTTACCCCACCCTGTGACTACATGTCCGCAGATCAAGTGAACAAAGTAATGCCATAAGACAGATCATGTTCCTTTGAAATCATGTTTCAAAGCATGGGCTTGTATGTTGAAACCAAAAAGATACAATGTCTGCAAGCTTTTATATGTGTTTTTTCCTTGTAAAGCTTAAGCTAATATATTAAGTGTAAAAAACAAATGCCAAAATGTTTATCAAATGATTTCATTTATGTTATAGAATGTAGCACAGGGAAACCTGTTTTGGTTACTGTTCATTGTGATGTTAACCTGGAGTAGGTATCCTCTGGGATTTGCAGGTTACATCTTTGAGGCTGATGCCAGCTGCAACTCTCCAGTGGTATCAAATGTTGCCTAGTTTTTTCTGATTTAAAGGGGTTGTTTATTTTTGGAAAATCTGTTTAGCAATCACTCTGGATTGACTTTCAACCTGATTCCAGTAAAACTTACAAGCTGGGATATAACAGTAACTTCAGCTCAAAGAGATATGAAATTGCTAAAAACCGGATCCTTCTCTGCTTTTCCACCATTTCGCCACACCCCTCTCCCAAGAAGCGTGAAGGAGGGAATGCTGCTCCACATGTTCAGTGTTTGCAAGACGTGGTGCATGGAACTTACACAGGCTTAGAGTTTAATTTGTTCTTAGCTCTGCCCTCTCCAGCGTGGCACCATGTGTCTGACAAAATTCTCCTTTCACCTCCTGGAATAAATGATTGTACTTATCATTATTATTTACATTACATTGATGTGATATTGCATCAGATGTGAATGAGCAGTTGTGGTGCCTGTAGCCTAATCGGTTTCCTTTTGTGCTGCAATATACAAGATTTAACATCCCTTGTGTACATGACTGTCTGCTGGACGAGAGTCTTTAATCAGACCATTCTACTTGTACACACACCTCTGGTTCCATCAGTCTGGTCCACACTTTATGCAGTCAGTCATAATGGAAAGGAGCCCATGATACGCAACAGTTGGGCTTTTAAGTGGGACCTCTACTGGAATTGATACAGTATATGACCAGAATGTTGTGAACACCTAACCATCACACCTGTATGAGTTCATCAAACATCCTATACCAAAACTTTGGACATTAATATGGAGTTGGCCCCTCCCTTGCAGCATTACTAATCTTGACTCTTCTGGGAAGGTTTTCCTCGATATTTTAAAGTATGTCTGTCTGAATTTCTGACCATTTGGCCACAAGCGATGAGCAGAAGAGATGAGTTCCACCTCACTAAACTCATTAAACTATTTCTGTATGTAGCTGGCATTGTGCACAGAGGCACAGTCATACTAGAACTGAACATGGCCTTCCCCAAACTTTTGCACAAGGTTGGAATCTCACAATTGTCTAAACCGTCTGTAGCATTAACAGTAGCCTTTAATGGAAACTCCTGAAGTGTTGTCTATATACTCATGGTCATATAATGTACATAGGCAGAAGTGCCTACCTAAATCATAAACTTTATCCAAAAGTGGACAACTCCTTTAAAAGACAAACTCCAGGCATACAGCTAAATACATGGGTAAAATACATAATTGTTTTACTTGACAAAGGATTTGGGTAATTTTGGTAGGCCATTTTGGCTTTGCTGATCAGCAAGATCACTGTGCTACTTCCTAGTTAGCAGCATTACTGCTTCCTTAAGCCAGCCATAGACGGTTCAAATCTCAGCTCATTCGCCAGCAACCGACAGAGATTTGAACCATTAATGGGCAGGGTGAATGTACCCAAGTTGATCAATCGATAAACCAGGGTATGACCAGCCTGCTGGATTTTACATGTGATTATTGCTAGTGGCTATTATAGCCACTAGCACTGATTACTGTGTTCTCCCTGCAGGGGCGGCTTCCCCTACCCCCTCACCAGGAGAAAACAAGAAAATAACCTGTAAGACTTTGTTTTGATGCTCCTGGAATGTATTTAGCTGATTTAAACTGCCGTTTCAATAGGGATTTAACTAAGTACTACAAGTGTCACCTTTCTGGTTATGCAGTGAAAAAATTGTGTATAAATCACAAGATTGGCTGTGCAGAATTACAAATCCTGTGGCTTCTAAAACAGTAATATTCATATTAAGTGTTAATTGAATTTGTTTAATGTAATCAGGGTTTACAGTAGGTTGGATTTGCAATTCTTTTTTTTTTTTTTTTCTTATTTGCATACTTTCATTTGATTGTGTGGATTACTGACTTTTGAACAAGTAATCAAAAAATGGACAGTTCAGGATAGTTAAGAACACTAAAGAAAATTATTAATTTTAGCTGATATATTTTATTATGATAAGATTTAAAGCATGAATTATTTTCTATAACACTGCATGTTGTAAAAGCCGCATCACGTGACCATCCTGCAAATGTAGCCGCTGTTCTTTGTAAGATCAGTCTCTCATTCAGTCGTTGTACACAACGACTGAATGAGAGACTGATCTGAAATTTCACTGAAAAATCTTTTCAGTGAATTTTTCTACAGAATCATTTTTTTATGTCCAGGAACAAGACTCACAACTTTTAATTCCTGTGCAGTATGTATACAGAAAAGAAAGATACACAGAAAATCATTGTATAACATATTTTTCATAGTGAGGAAATATGAATTACTGACTATTTTTATGAATAAATAATGTTAAACTGCCTTTAGCCTGACAAGTAGGGAATAAATGGCCCATTTATCAAATAAAGCATTACAATTTATGAAGGCCTGACCTACCAGTTGGGCTCTTCCTATTCGTAGGTAAGATGGGCATCTTGTCCCAATCATTTTTATTAAAGAAAAGCAGTATATTTGAACTAGGACACTCTCCTCTTTAGAGCAAACTCTTCATAAACCTGGGTTGTTCCAACTGAGCATATGATGAAAAATGCATGTCAAAACAATCAGTAGATCTACAGATGTAGGCTACCCGAAGTGACCATCTCTGTTTAAAAACGTAAATAGAAACCTAGCCTGCAAAGAAAAGCATTCAAAATTCCCCTTCCTGCCACCCATTCTGCTGTCTTCAAAGCATAGGCTTTCTGGAAGAATTTCCAGCATTTCCAGCTATGTTGGATGCATGGTCCCCAACTGTTCTCTGTGGTTCCTTCATCAATACTGTGTCTTGTGACACACCAGGAAGTGTTGAAGGCTTTAAATCTTCGTCAAGCCTGTCTGTTGATGGAGATGAATTCGGTGGCATGGGCAGGTAGATAGGTAAGTTTTATTATAGCCAACAAGAAAACCTTGGGTGAGACTCAACTTTTAAAGCTTGGAGATTTTCATATAGTCAGCTTCATTTAGCTATGAATTTACCTAATTTTGCTAGTCACTAAAAATAAGCCCAATGCATAGATTGATGACCTTTTTTAAAGTAGGTATTTAGCTTAAAAAAATAAACCGTATTTTAAAAAAAAAAGAAAGTGTGAAGAAAATCACCACATTTTGGTCACCTTTATAGTATCTGCATGTCTGTTTGTCCCCCGTTATCCCAATTATACACAACTTCATTTTCAAGTTGCTAAAAATGAAAAATATACCACCAACAATTTGACGAATCTCTCTTGTGCAAGGGGAAACAACTTAAAAAGTAAAAAATTGAAATAAATGATAGGACTTTACTCCTGCTGTACACAATCCAAGCAACTGTAATGACTATGCCAGGAATTAAGATCTTACTACATTAAATTAAAATTAGCCATTGTTTGTCTCTAAATCAGATTAATGTAGATTCACCTAAACATATGAAAATGCAAACTCAAACTTTATAAAATTCTGTTGTTTTTTTTTTTATTTAATGTTATTTAAAAATCAAATTATTGAAAAAAAAATTCCAGAGCACTTTCACAAATTGTGTTACTATAAAACCCAATTCAATTAAAATTAAAATACATATATAATAATGTGAAATTCTAAAATTTTATTATATAAAGTGCTAAGTCTATTCAAAAAGTGTCCAGTGATGTAAACATAAAAAAAAAATCATTCAAATCATCAATATTTAAATTTCTTCAATATAATGTCTCATGCAAAAAAAAATTAGTATATCAATAAAGTATATATATATTATTATTATTATACAGTATTTATAAAGCGCCAACAGTTTGCTCAGCGCTGTACATTACAATGGGAGACAATACATGAGACAGTACAATAACAATACAGTGCGATACACGAGGGGTTCGAGGGCCCTGCTCCTTGGAGAGCTTACAATCTAGGAGGGAGGGGATAGTGGTACGGGAGGAAAAGCTGTGGGGGATGGAGTGGTAGGAAGAGTGGAGATCGGCAGTTAACAGAGGGTGGGGTAGGCTTCCCTGAAGAGGTGGGTTTTTAGGGTGCACCTAAAGGAGAGGAGAGTGGGTGATAGTCTGATGGATTGGGGTAGTGAGTTCCAGAGGATGAGTGATGCCCTGGAGAAGTCCTGGAGGCGGGCATCGGAGGAGGAGATCAGGGAACTAGAGAGAAGGAGGTCTTGTGAAGAGCATATATATATATATATATATATATATAAAATGTATTTTAATTGGATTGGGTTATATAGTAACACAGTTTGTGATAGCATTGTCGGAATAATATTTTAAATATTCACTGTATCAATTAAGATAGCAGTTGCACTGTTTATTTAGAGATTACATCACTTTTATACGGTCTATGGTGCAGTTCTGGTTTAGTTAATATAAAATAAAAATAAAATGTTTTTTTAAAAGCTATTAATTTATTTCATAAATAGCTGAGGTCAAAGGAAATAAAAATTCAATGTCCCTTGAAAGTAATGGATATCATAACCCTTAGCTTAAGATTTTACCTTTTGCTCCACCTGCAGCTTAAATTGTGGTACTGCGACCTGACCATTGAAATATAATGAAATGCTAACATCCATATTCTTATTATTATACGGGATTTATATAGCGCCAACAGTTTGCGCAGCGCTTTACAAAATGAAGGTAGACATTACAGTTACAATACAATTTGGTACAAGATGAAACAGGGCCCTGCTCGCTAGAGCTTACAATCTAGGGATATTAAAAGGCAAATCAAATAGCAAGACAGTGTGCAAATGTTTTAT